AGGACAGGGGGCAAGACAGGGAGCTCTTTCACATTACGCGCACACGCACACACAATGCATCCCTATACATACAGAAAAACAACACGCTTCCCTTACACACAGAGAAACACACAATGCATCCATTACACACACAATGCAACCCTTACACACAAAGACGATGCATCCTTTGCACACATACACAGAAACACACAATGCAAACCCTTACACACACACTGCTTTTCTTACATACACACAGAAACACAATGCATCACTAACACACACTCAATGCACACACTTACAGACACACACCTTGTATCCTTTATGCATACAAACACAGATTCACACAATGCATCCCTTACACACAACCAGAAACACACAATACATCCCTTATACACAAATACACACTGCTTCCACTACACACAAACACACTGCATCACCTGCACAAACTGGTAACCCTAAAAACTACATACCATAAGCACACATATTAGATCCTCTACAATAACACATAACACATCCCCTACACACTCCACTCCCTGTGAGCGAACTCATGGGTGGGTGGAACTTATGAGTGGGCCTTATGGGCATACTCACCGCCAGGCCCTGGGGCCCAGACCTTGAGCTGTGTAAGGGGCCCCAAAAAAATTGAGCTGCTTCCAATTCTCCCAGAACATTGAATTTTGTGACCACAGTTGCAAACAGCCTCCAGAGATCCTGTTATACACCAGACCAGTGGAGCCAAACTGCAGCCCATCATCATCCTCATCTGCTTGTAAGTAGGCAAGGCCGTCTTTAAAGGGGGGCAAAAGGGGCAGCTGCCCCGGGCCCAGTTACTCGTGGGGGGCCCAAAGTTGCTGCTCTGTGGGCCCCCTGCTGGGGTTCAAATCCTGTGGACTGCAGCACCTGATGTAATTAAGGGCCCTCAGCCCTTTAAGAGTGCTCGGCCTTGGCCCCTTTGATGTTGCCTGCTGGGAGGAAGTGAGGTGAGATCACTTCCTCCCACGTAACAGAGTGCCGCTGGAGAGGTAGAGGAGGTATACACAGGAGGAGAAAAGGGACTGAGGACAGACTCTCATCAGCCTTGGCCCTCCAGCTCCCACTGGACCCCAGGGAAGCCACCCTTCTGTACCCAAAAGGTAAGGAGACATGAGGGTGGCTAAAACATGATGTAACTTGATATATGTGTGTGTACCTGGGTCTGAGTGAGTGCATCTGGGCATATGTGTGTGTTTATCTGGCTATATGTGTGTGTTTATCTGGCTATGTGTGTGTGTGTATATCTGACTGTGTGTGTATATCTGGCTGTGTGTATGTCAATGTGTGTATCTGGCTGTATGTGCATGTGTATCTACCTGACTGTGAGTGTTTGTACCTGGCTGTGTGTATGTCAATGTATGTATCTGGCTGTGTGTATGTCAGTGTGTGTATCTGGCTGTATGTGCATGTGTATCTACCTGACTGTGAGTGTTTGTACCTGGCTGTGTGTATGTCAATGTATGTATCTGGCTGTGTGCATGTCAGTGTGTGTATCTGGCTGTATGTGCATGTGTATCTACCTGACTGTGAGTGTTTGTACCTGGCTGTGTGTATGTCAATGTGTGTATCTGGCTGTGTGTATGTCAGTGTGTGTATCTGGCTGTATGTGCATGTGTATCTGGATGTATGTGTGTGTGTGTGTGTGTGTGTGTTTATCTGGCTATGTGTGTGTGTGTATATCTGACTGTGTGTGTATATCTGGCTGTGTGTATGTCAATGTGTGTATCTGGCTGTGTGTATGTCAGTGTGTATATCTGGCTGTATGTGCATGTGTATCTGGCTGTATGTGTGTGTGTGTGTGTGTGTGTGTGTGTACCTGACTGTGAGTGTACCTAGCTGTGTGTATATCTGGCTGTGTGTATGTCAATGTGTGTATCTGGCTGTGTGTATGTCAGTGTGTATATCTGGCTGTATGTGCATGTGTATCTGGCTGTATGTGTGTGTGTACCTGACTGTGAGTGTTTGTACCTGGCTGTGAGTGTACCTAGCTATGTGTATATCTGGCTGTGTATCTAGCTGTGTGTGTATCTGTCTGTGTTTGTGTCAGTCTGTGTATCTGGCTATATGTGTCTGTGTATGTATGTGCATATATCCAGGCAATCAAACACACCACAGCAAACACAATCATTACATACAAACACACCCCTAATACAAACTCCAAAATTGTATACAAACACACCCTTCACTCACTAAGCTACACACAAATGTACATCTGCATTTAAAAGACAACCCTACATCCACACACACCCCTGCATGCAATTACAAATGTTACATAAAACACTACAATTATATACAAACGCCAACTCAATACACAAAAGCACAACTTCATTTAAAAGCCAACACTACATACAAACACACACCCCTGCATTCAAACACAAACACTACACAAAAGTACACAGCTGCATTCCAATAGTAACAGTATATACAAACACCCCTACATGCACACATATACTCTATACAAAAACATGCTTACATTCAAATTCACAAACACTGCTCACAAATACAACCCTACAAGAATGGCCAAGCGGTGGATCCCCATCGTGGAAGTTGTACGACAGATGGGTATCTAACTTTTCTCCACTCTTGCGCTATTGGAGAGAAAACAATTCTTGCACCACAGCCCTCTCTACATTAGTTCTATCAGTAGGTTGGGGTGGAGGCCCTGATTGCATGCCAGGGAGCTGGGGGTTGAGAATGGGGGGGCACAGGGGGGTGGGGAAGGGCAGGTATAGGGGGCCCAAGCAAATGCTTGCCCAGGGTCCAATCGATATTAAAGACGGCCCTGTAAGTAGGCAATCTAGTATATTATTAGTGACACTAATCTATAATTTACCTCACATTAAAGGGACACTATAGCTTAATGAAGTGGTTCTGGTGTCTATAGCTGGTCCCTGCAGGCTTTTTAATGTAACACACACTGTGTGCAGCACTGGCGTTAGTTCATATGGCAGATCATATGGGTGGGGCATTGTGATGTGACATGTGGGGGCAGCAAATTTTTATTTTGTCTAGGGCGGCAAAAATCCTTGCAGGGAGGGAGCTGCGTGAGCTGCGCTGGCTCTGCTCCCCAGCACGCAGCTGAATGAGACTGGCGCCGGAATATGACGTCATATTCTGGCGCCAGTCTCATTCAGCAGGGCGGGAGGGCACTAACACAGGAAGCACCTCTAGTGACCGTCTGAGTGACTGTCACTAGCAGTGTCACTTTGAAGCAATGTAAACACTGCCTTTTGTCTGAAAAGTCAGTGTTTACGTTGAAAAGCCTGTAGGGACATGTTATAGACACCAGTACCACCACATTAAGCTGTGTGTGTGCGTCTGCTAGTGAGTGAGCTTGCTTGCATGCGTGTGCCTGCTAGTGAGTGAGCTTGTGGTTTTATGTCAATGAGCTGATGTATATCAGTAAGATTGTTTGTCTATGAGGCTGTGTATCAATGAGCTTGTGTGTGTCACTGAAATGTCAGTGAAATTGCCTGTGTCTGCATGTGCATATGCTTACTGTATAATTAAACGTTTTACCCTGAAAGGACCAATATTTTATATTAGAAAAAGCAATATATATATATATTACTCAATCATCTGTCCTGGCAAGACATAGCCTTACATATTACACGCGACAATATATGGCGGAGTGACTTATGGGGCTGGCACAAAATTTTTTTCCAGGGCTGCTTTGTATCCCCAGTCCGGCCCTGTGTACACATATTAAGATTATATGAGTGAGATAAATTGAGGCTGTGTTTTAACAGAACTTCATGCACATAATATACCACTCACATATACTGAGGTTGTGACTCACAACCCACACATAGAACCAGTATTAGATTGGACTCATATAGCGGATGTACTTATATCATTCACATATATTGTGCTTCCACTAATACATCAATCATATAGAGAACAGATACACTGAAGCAATGTCTCCACGCCATCTTACCTATAGATCATATAGAGGGCATATACTGAGGCTGTGTTTTCACAGTTACTCAGAGCATATAAAGAACACACACTGATCAACTCATACATAGACAATATAGTGGATACATATACTGAGGCTGTGTCCTCATGGCAACTCATACACAGAGCATCTAGTGGATACATATACTGAGGCAGAGTCCTCATTGTAACTCATACATACATACATCATATAGTGGGTACATATACTAAGGCTGTGTCCTCATAGTAACTTATACCAAGAGCATATAGTGGGTACATATACTGAGGCCGTGTCCCCATAGTAACTCCTACATAGAGCATATAGTGTGTGTGTGTGTGTGTGTGTGTGTGTGTGTGTGTGTGTGTATATATATATATATATATATATATATATATATATACACACACACACACACACACTGAGGCTGTATCCTCATAGTAACTCATACATAGAGTATATAGTGGATACATATACTAAGGCCGTGTCCTCATAGTAACTCATACCTAGAGCATATACTGGACACACACTGAGACCCTTATACCAATTCATACATTAGAGCATATAGTGGAAACAAACCGATGCTGTACCACCACCAGTTCATGTACAGATACTGAGGCCCAGTGGTCTCCTGTGCAAAATATTCTTCCACTGTCTGCAACGCCTGCTTATTTGTGATAATGCACAGATAACAGCAATCAATGCCACATACCTTGATAGAAACAAGTGTGTGTGTGGACTTAGAGTTAGGTTTTTAAAACCTGTCATATACATATGTGTACCTTAATCAGACACCCAAGAAGGTTATCTTACCTTGGATATTTCTCTGTCTTCAGGCTGTGGAATTCCAGCAGACTTAATGCAATGAGACACTGTGAAAAATAGTGCTAATAATGGATATCCTGGCTGTATAATCAGCACTCCTTTGCATAATGCCTCCTAGCATTATCAGCACTCTTTTTGCATTATCAGCACGACTTTGCCCAATGCATACTTGTATTATCAGCACTCTTTTGCACCAAACATCCTTATAAACTTACCTAAATGCTCACCACACAAATCTCCTAAATGTGACCTATTTTTTTAGAAGGAAGCCTAATGTAAGCAGCTGGGAGGGACTGAAAGAACAGAGACCCAGGTGCCTATACTAGTTTTAATCTAAATTACTAATGCAAAATGGGGATTTGAACAACTGATAGCCTAAACTGTTTAAGCTATAGGCTTCAATCTGTACCCCATATGCCATTCATCATCACCATACAAGGTGGAATACATAGAATAGGTATACCCCGGTAGTCACAACTCTGTTGGGCCTCATGTATGCAGTGTACCGATGTCATCCGCTCAGGGAGAGAGATAGGTTAGACTCCTTGTAAGGAAACCAAGTATATTTAAACCTCATTCGGTAGTTTCCTCCCAAACCGCCAGAGCCTTAGTAATTATAGCCCTCTGTTCGGTAGTTAGGGTAGACGAATCCTATAGCAATTCCAATAGTGTCACCAGATAATTCCTTCAGTGAAACACACGAATCCCCAAACATCAGCCGAAGTCAAGAAGAAGGGTACAAAATGAACTGTCCTTTAATGGGTGCACACAGCTTTTATGCAAGTCCCCATACAAGGGGACACCCCTCAGGGAGGGACAAACAATAACCAATCACAAACAGTAAAATGTTAACACACACCTACAATTCCCTCCCCTAGCCCAGGAGATAATTTAGTCTGATAAACTAGTAACTTAATTATCTCCAGGCTGAAAAATCACTTTTTCCCCAACTTTCAGAACACCCCTTTATACTGGGGGTATCCCATGTGTCCCATGATAGCCCTGAGCTGGGTGACAAACATATTCGAATTTCACCCAGATCGGTTCAGGGGTTCGCAAATTTTATGGAAGTCTTGTGTGACTGGCTCACCCTGGGCTGCATGCCGAAAACAGTTCCACGAATTTGGTGGGTTTTGCCGGTCACTTTAGAAAAAGCATAAAAACGAATAAAAATACCGAATGGATCCCACTGGCTCCTAGCAGCGTTCGTGCCCCTCTGTCGAATGCACCAAAGTACCGAATAGCGCTCTTCTAGCTATTCAGTAAATAGAGTTCCAGCATTTGTCTGTTTGGGACCGGTGTTCGGGAAGTCGAGTGTCCATAAAACAGTTCCATGTACTCGACGACCAGGTCCCACTGCCTTTGTTCGCATGAACAAAGATGGCCGCGGTTTTCTCTGCCACGTGGCGTTCGACTAACGAACGCTGTCCGCACAGACAGAGGTAGCAATTTCACCCAATCCTTTGATGTTTAATGAGCCAGAGGGTGGTCATTGTTGGGTAGTTCCATCTTCCGAATGCAATAGGCAGAAATGGGGATAAAAAGGGAATGCAAACAGTAAATAACATAGGGAACAGGGGGGTTTCTTCACACTCCTGATTGCTGAAGGAGGTACCCAGGCTGGAAACTCTTACACATGTGCTGTTTGCTGGGTCTTCAGGGATAAGGCCTTAGACTCAACTGGGCCTCATGTATGCAGTGGACCGCTGTCATCACTTCCGAGAGAGCTAGGACAGACCCCTGGTTGCTGAAGTAGGAACCCAGGCTGGCAACTCTTACCGATATGCTGTTTGCTGGGTCTTCAGGGGTAAGAGGTTGAACCCTGGCCTGGCTTCATGTAGGCAGTATATCACATACATCCCCTGAGGGGGTACCCAAGCTGGCCTGTTGCTGGGTCTTCAGGGATAAGAGGCTGAACCCTGGCATGCAGTGGACCATTTTCATCCCTTTCAGGGAGAGGTTGGGTCCAACCCCCGGTCACTAAAGGGGGTACTCAGGCTAGCCACTTCATCTTTGTGCGTTTTGCTGGGTCTTCAGGGCTTAGAGGCTGAACCCCGGCAGGGCCTAAAAAATATTACCTGGTGAGCATAAAAGAAAAAATCTAGGCCTGCTTAAGTAGACTCCTTCCAAACTGCTGTGAAAGACAGGAAAAAAAGACTGCATGATGGGAAGGGGGGACGATCTATTTATACCAGTTTCAAAGTTCTATTTCCTGTCATTTCTGCTGTAAGGGGAGGAGCTAACCCCATGAGTAAATGCTGCCATGAATAATGGTCAGGATATATATGTGTGTGTGTGTGTGCATATATATATATATATATATATATATATATATATATATATATATATATATATATATATACAGTTACCGGCACTCACGGTTTTCTCAATTAGTATTTCTTTATTCCAAAATAGATATCGACGTTTCAGCTCCTCAATGAGCTTTCATCAGGACATAAAACACACATAAAATGAGCTTATATAGGGAACAATTATTGTGAATACTTACAACACAGGTGGTCCTCACTCACTCCAGCCGCCAAATTCGTACCGGTTGCTAATACGGAAGTGAATTCACTTCCGGGTTGCTGTCCACGTGATCGGAGGAAAGAGAGTCTCAATTGGCTAGCAAGGCCTCGTTACTAGGCAACTGGAGACTGGTTTGTCTCCTTAGAACCTCCCTTCAATACGGGCACAGTTGCGGACCAAAACTCTAAAGCCCTCCATAGTATCAGCACGTTGCCATAACAACCGGACAGAAACCCGAACGGCATGAGGGAGGAGGAGCACTATATAAGACACTAATCAAAGGGCATAATGTAATACAAAAAAGACACATAGTAATACAAAAAAGAGTGGCAATATTAAAGATGAATTGAATGCAAAAGATGTATAATAAATAAATATAACTAAAAAAAGTGATAAGAGGAATTAATCTAAATCCCTATGTAAACACATTGTATCAGTACAATTTAAATAATGTTCATCTAGTGATCATACTGTGGCCAGGCTTGGTTAATGCTATTAGATATTATTATTAGTAATGTAAATGTGCAAAAAAAGTTAATCTGATTCTTCTGGTGTATGATGAGTGTAAAAAATATGTGTAAAAAATATGTATTTTATGTGCTAAAAAAGTAGGAAGTTGAATTAAAGTGCATAATTGCCTCAATAAAACTGTATATAAAGATTATCCTCAAATATTACTAAACATAATTCATACAAAAATAGTCCCTTAGAAAGTGTTTAAAAAGTCATATGTATTCAAAAAACTATTGTATAAATTTTTTTTTAAAAAAAAAACAGTATAGTACAAATAAATTTCACAAATACTCAATATATACTTTCTTTTGAAAATTAGCACCCTATTATCATAAATCTAGACCACCCATCATATAAAGGCTGAAAAAGAACATTTTTCATTTAAACCCCTAGGTGAGAGGGTATCAAGTTGTATAATCCAATAAGTTTCCCTCTGTAAAAGGAGTCTCGCACGGTCACCCCCACGTGTTGGCATCGGAACGTGGTCAATCGCAACACATCTCAGGGATGATAGCTGATGTTTTAATTCCAGAAAATGTCGGGCCACAGGCTTATCTGACTGGCCATCACGATAGGCCAGGCGGATACTTGACCTGTGACCCCTAATTCTCTCGCAAAGAGCTGTCTCCGTCTTGCCAATGTAATTCAAACCACAAGGGCAGGTTAGTTTGTAAATTACAAAATCACTCCTACAATGAATTCGATGTTGAATTCTATAGACCTTGCCCGTGTGTGGGTGACTAAAGGTTTTAGAAGGGATTATGTGTCCACACGTGACACATCCCAAACACCTTACACACCCCACATTCTTGCTATTACCCATGGTTGTTCCATAACAATGTTGGTTGTCCGTTTTAACCAGCAGGTCTCTCAAATTCCGGTTCCGTCTATAGCAAAACAGGGGTTTCTGACGAAAGTTCTCTGGTAAAGTAGGATCTCTTGCTAGAGTATTCCAATTTTTCCGAATGGATGAGGTAATCTCTGTACTTGCTGTATTAAACTGCATTGGGAAAATGAGTCTAGTATTTATTGCTTTATCCTTTGGTGCCTCAGATGTTGAATACGTTGTTTTCGCTCTCTTAAGAGCCACTTCCAATACACTCCGTGGATACCCTCTGGTAAGGAATTTCTTATACATAATTTCCAATTGGATGTTACATTGCTGACTTAGGGAGTTATTTCGCAATACCCGTAAGAACTGTGAATAAGGTAACGATGTTTTTAAATGCCTCGGATGGAAGCTATCAAAGTGTAATATGGTGTTTCGATCAGTGGGTTTAGTGAAAAGTCTAAACTCCAATTGATCCTCGATAATCATAATTTCAATGTCAAGGAATTGTACACTTTTTTCATCAATATGTGAGGTCATCTTCACCGGTGTCGGCAGTGTGTTTAGATCCAATGTAAACTGAATCGCCTCTTCCTTAGAGCCATTCCATAAGATGAGTATGTCATCAATAAACCTGAAATATCGAGTAATAGATGATTCATATCTTTGTAAGATATATTGCATCTCATATTGGTACATGTAGGCATTCGCATACATAGGGGCCATCGCCGCCCCCATTGATGTGCCTGCTATTTGTAAGTACCAATCAACTTCAAAACGAAAATAATTGTTCTGTAGAGCCATATTAAGTAATTCCAGAGTAAATTCGATTGATGGACCATGGTAATGTCGTGAGTGATTCAGAAGATCTCTCATTGCCTGTACCCCTTCTTCATGCGGTATAATGGTGTATAGGCTCCCAACGTCCATCGTAATCAAGATGCCATTAAATTCTTTTACTTCTTTTAAACGTTGTATCAGATCTGGAGTGTCTTTTATACACGTACTTAAAGATGTGACCGGATCTTTGAATAGATAATCCAGATATTTGGCTATTGGTTCTAATAGCCCTTGGACTGCTGAGACAATAGGGCGTCCTGGGGGTTTTTCCAGGTTTTTATGAATTTTTGGCAGTGTATAAATTATTGGAGTTCGTGGATGTGTCTTTTTCAAATATTGAAATAGCTCCAGATCTATATGTCCTGCTTGGAGTCCATAATTCAATATGTCTTCTATTTTCTTAGCAATAGAATTAGTAGGATCCTTGTCCAATTTTTTATAAGTCTTTGTATCTTGCAATTGTTGTCTAATTTCTGCCGCATACTTATCATAATTAAGAATTACAATCCCTCCGCCCTTGTCAGCTGGTCGAATTACTATCCTAGGGTCTGAAGCCAAATTTTTAATTAAAGCAAGATCATCTCTAGAGAGATTATGGTGTTTAGGTCGATGGTTATGTAAAACTGCTCCTATTTCATGTTTCACCGTTGAGAGAAAAGATTTGATCGCTACTTGATTTATTGGAGGATCAAATGCACTTCGTGTTCTAAAATTGTGCATGCTTTTTATATTGGGAGGAATTCCTGTACCAAGTTTAGAATTTTTAAAAAAGTCTTTTAGTCTCATATTACGGCCAAATTTGAACAATTCCACTTCCCATTGGAATCCATTGGGAGGGGTTGTGGGAATAAAGGAAAGACCTTTACTCAAGATATTTGTTTCTGCTGGTGTAAGATCTCGTTTTGACAAATTGAAGACGGGGACTAATTGCGCCTCGGTGGTCTCCCTTTTGGACCAGTAGACTCGTCCTTTCTGTCCACGTCGGGTGTTAGATCTCTTCCTTGTTTGAACATACTCCGTGTGACTGTTGTGGTTGGTCTCGTCTTGTCTTGCGCAATCCCTTCGTCTAAAAAATGGACCGATGTTCCAACTGGATTTCCTTCTCCTTCTGATGCAGATTCTCCTGATGTTATGTCCACAGTAGAAACATTTGGTCTCACTATTTTCTTGCGGAATCTTCTTGGTCTGCCCTTATGTTCCCCAGATAGCCATCTATAGACCGAGAACTCTTGGTAATCCAGCTGCACCCTTTCCATTTTTTGCCTCTTAAATTTGATCAATTGATTTTTATATTTAATTACTTCCTCATTGAGTTTTAAAATTAAATTATTCCCCTCCTGTGTATTAAGTTGGAGCGCATATTCAGTTTCCAGATTTTGAATTTTTTTCTTAATCTCTAACAGATCCTCTTTAACGTCTTGAATTGTTATTAACATGAGGTCCAGGGAACATTTATTGAGAACTGCTGTCCAATCTTTACAGACCCGAGCTTTAGTTCTACCAATAGTTGGGATATTTCTCACTCTAAACCCCCTGGGAATTTGTTTTGCTCTATGGTAATCAGAAAGAAGAGATCCAAATCCACTTCCTTCTTTTTAAGTTTTTCGGAGTTTAAAGTATATATCCCGTAAAGTTATAGTTGTGGGTAATTCCAGACTGGAAGTACTCCATAGTATCTCCTCCGCTTGTGCATCACTAAACTGGAGTATGTTGGCCTGAGATGAGCATGCACCTGCCTGGGACAGGAAATCCTCCATATTTTCCGTATTATTATAATCACAGCGGTGAAAAAAAATCCTTTTCTTTTTCTTTTCCAAAATATATAGGGGTCTTATTCTCCAAAGTATATATGAAAATTAAAAATTAACTTTTATTGCAATCGGTTAAAATATGTACTGTTACTTTAAAAACACAGTATGGTTAGCAAAACAAATCGCTATACCAATACTAAAAGTAGTTCCATTTGAATCCTCATTCCCTTCAAATAATGGGGAAGATAACGTGCAAAAAGCACTTAAAGTGATGTGGGTGCATAGAAAGAGTGCTTGCCAAACACTCTAAATTTACAAACAAAAAAATATATAATTCCTGCACTCCAACCTTACAAGTGTATAAATACCTGGTGCTCTGGTTGCAAATTTAAATAGTCCAAACAGTTACCGGCACTCACGGTTTTCTCAATTAGTATTTCTTTATTCCAAAATAGATATCGACGTTTCAGCTCCTCAATGAGCTTTCATCAGGACATAAAACACATATAAAATGAGCAAAGCTTATATAGGGAACAATTATTGTGAATACTTACAACACAGGTGGTCCTATTGAAGGGAGGTTCTAAGGAGACAAACCAGTCTCCAGTTGCCTAGTAACGAGGCCTTGCTAGCCAATTGAGACTCTCTTTCCTCCGATCACGTGGACAGCAACCTGGAAGTGAATTCACTTCCGTATTAGCAACCGGTACGAATTTGGCGGCTGGAGTGAGTGAGGACCACCTGTGTTGTAAGTATTCACAATAATTGTTCCCTATATAAGCTTTGCTCATTTTATGTGTGTTTTATGTCCTGATGAAAGCTCATTGAGGAGCTGAAACGTCGATATCTATTTTGGAATAAAGAAATACTAATTGAGAAAACCGTGAGTGCCGGTAACTGTTTGGACTATTTAAATTTGCAACCAGAGCACCAGGTATTTATACACTTGTAAGCTTGGAGTGCAGGAATTATATATTTTTTTGTTTATATATATATACAGGGAGAGCAGAATTATTAGGCAAGTTGTATTTTTGAGGATTAATTTTATTATTGAACAACAACCATGTTCTCAATGAACCCAAAAAACTCATTAATATCAAAGCTGAATATTTTTGGAAGTAGTTTTTAGTTTGTTTTTAGTTTTAGCTATGTTAGGGGGATATCTGTGTGTGCAGGTGACTATTACTGTGCATAATTATTAGGCAACTTAACAAAAAACAAATATATACCCATTTCAATTATTTATTATTACCAGTGAAACCAATATAACATCTCAACATTCACAAATATACATTTCTGACATTCAAAAACAAAACAAAAACAAATCAGTGACCAATATAGCCACCTTTCTTTGCAAGGACACTCAAAAGCCTGCCATCCATGGATTCTGTCAGTGTTTTGATCTGTTCACCATCAACATTGCATGCAGCAGCAACCACAGCCTCCCAGACACTGTTCAGAGAGGTGTACTGTTTTCCCTCCTTGTAAATCTCACATTTGATGATGGACCACAGGTTCTCAATGGGGTTCAGATCAGGTGAACAAGGAGGCCATGTCATTAGATTTTCTTCTTTTATACCCTTTCTTGCCAGCCACGCTGTGCGAACTATATATATGTGTGACAACCATATGCAATATAATGATCTAAATAAAGTGCTATAGTAGTGTAAATTAAACAATATATTTACACACAAATTGTTAACTTTCAAACCATTGTGCACTCTGTGATTAACTTTCAAACCATTGTGCACTCTGTGATGAAAAGTTAATAATAAAAATAGAGCACTTACTCCTTTATAAATAGAGGAAAGAAATTTAGGCAGTATAACTTTCAGAACATAAATAGGAAAAAAAAAGTAAGAAACAAGGGGGAAACAATAGTGTAAAAATATAAAAGATAATCAGGCAGTGAAAGTCTGCTCTAACTTTTAACAGCTTTGATGTCCTATACCAAGGACCATGATGTGACAGCAGGACAATGTAATAGGATAAATCCTTTATTTAACATCAATAAAAATGATCTCTCCATTGGGATGCTGATAATGTTCGTCCTCAAACCCTCTGACACGCAGCTATCACTTGCGGTCCTCTGGTAGCTAAACACGTCCGGTAGTAGGAGGTTCGTATGGCACCTACTGATGTTGTGTTGCATGATAACGCGTTTCGCCTGGGCAGCTTCCTCAGGTAACATCTTGTGTTTGCTGTCCATCTGAGTTGTATCCACCTCCATGGGCATGATAATTTAAAAATACATACTGATTGGTCCTGGTTAAAACATGTCCTTATGTAAATAAGATAAAAGGCATATCACCTAAATGTCTCTTTATCAAAATCATATGTAAATAATTAAAAAATAAACCATTAGTGTCCAACATATCAATTAGTCCAAATATCAAATAAAGCATATACATAAGAAAGGGGGGCATATTTCCTTGTGAATACAAAAAATACGTATGTTATAAACATCAAATGTCCACAAAAGAAAATAAGAAGTAGTAATGGACAGTATAAATGGATAAATGGGGACCAGGTTCGCCCGCAGTTACGCCAATTTGTTAATGCTGGGTTGGGAGAATTATGTCCTCCCCTTACAATACTTCCCCTAACTTCACTCCCTCTGCTGTTCTATGTTCATTCGCACCTGCTACATTGGAAGAGGTTTCTGCTCTGCTCCAGTCCCCCCGCCCCACCACCTGCTCCCTAGATCCAATTCCCTCGCATCTCATCCGTACTCTGTCGTCTTCTCTTTCTCCACCTCTCTCTAAAATCCTCAATCTCTCTCTCTCCTCTGGTATATTTCCATTGCCCTTCAAACATGCAACTCTAACCCCAATTCTAAAGAAGCCCAATCTTAACCCTAACTCCCCATCCAACTATTGTCCTATCTCGCTACTGCCTTTTGCATCCAAGATCCATGAAAATATTGTGTATGCGAGATTGACAGACTTTCTCGAGTCCAACTCTCTGCTAGACCCGCTTCAGTCTGGTTTCCGCGCTAAGCATTCTGTGGGAACGGCACTGACCAAAGTATCCAATGATCTACCCGCTGCAAAATCTCGTGGTCAATACTTTATCCTAATTCTCCTTGACCTCTCTGTGGCTTTTGACACTGTTGATCATCAACAGCTTCTTCTCATCCCCCGCAATATCGGTCTACAAGATATTGCTCTCTCCTGGTGCTCTTCCTACCTCTCCCAGCGCTCTTTCAGTGTTTTTTTCTCTGGCTCTGCTTCTTCTCCCCAACTCCTCTCTGCTGGTGCCCCCCAAGGTTCAGTCCTTGGTCCCCTCCTGTTCTCCATCTATACTGCCACCCTTGGTAAACTCATTAGCTCCTTTGGCTTCCAATATCATTTCTATGCAGATGACACGCAAATCTACCTGTCCTCTCCTGATATCTTCCCGTCCCTCTTGACTAGTGTCTCTGACTGCCTCTCTGCTGTTTCTAACTGGATGGCTGCCCACTTCCTTAAACTAAACTTGACCAAAACTGAAATTCTGGTCTTTCCTCCCTCAAGTGTTGTTACTCCTGTGTCTGTCTCCCTCCAAGTCAATGGTGCTACCATCAGCTCCACCACTCAGGCTCGCTGCCTAGGTGTTCTCTTTCACTCTGACCTCTCCTTCAAGCCTCATGTTCAATCTATCGCCAAATCCTGTCATTTCCATCTCAAAAACATTGTGCGCATCCACCCCTACTTAACGCCAGATGCAACTAAGGTGTTGGTCCATTCCACTGTCCTTTCTCGCCTTGACTACTGTAATCCGCTTCTCAGTGGTCTTACGTGCTCCCAACTAGCGCTGTTACAGTCCATAATGAATGCGCGGCGAGGCTCATCTTCCTGTCCGCCCGCACCTCCCATGCCTCACCCTTCTGTCAGTCCCTACATTGGCTTCCTATAAAATATAGAGCTCAATTGAAAATTTTGGTTCTTGCTTTCAAATCTCTACATAATGCTGCTCCCACCTATCTATCCTCCCTTATACACAAGTATATCCCATCTAGGCCCTTACGATCTGCTGAAGACTTACGTCTATCTTCTGTCCGTACTCCCACCTCTGATGCTCGCCTTCAAGATTTCGCCTTCAAGATTTCTCGAGGGCTGCACCGTTCCTCCTCCGTTAGATGCTCACCCAGTCTCCACTCCTTCAAAAAATCGTTAAAAACCCACTTCTTCATAAAAGCGTACCAATTAAACTGTTAATAGCTCCTGACTGATTCCTCTTCTGCAACTGTCACTAGTCTAATACTATCCTTACCTTTTTCTGTCATTTTACCTCACTCCCTCTAGCATGTAAGCTCATTGAGCAGGGCCATCAACCCCTCTGTTCCTGTGTGTCCAACTTGTCTGGTTACAACTACATGTCTGTTCGTCCACCCATTGTAAAGCCCTGCGAAATTTGACGGCGCTCTATAAATATTATAATAATAATAATTAACAGCCCAACATGGGGGACGGACCTGGTCTCATACCAGAGATACATTGATGATTTATTTTTTATATGGAAAGGTGCACAGAGTGATCTAGAAATCTACATTAATAATAGCGATTGGGGCATTCAGCTAAACAGCCAATTTAGTACTGTGAGTATCAACTTCTTGGATTTGTAAATTTACATAGAACGACACTTTGAAAACAAAAAAATTCTTCAAAAAGGTAGATGCAAATAGTTATGTCCTGTACAACAGTAGACATTACACACCCTGGTTAGACATTATACCAAAAGGGCAACTACAAAAGGATAAGAAGAAATTGTACTGATAAGGAAACATTTGAAGAACAAGCTACTAAAGTTCTAAATACATTTTTCGCAGAAAAAATACCCTAATGAGTTACTTGAAAAAAGCATTTGAGGAAATTAAAAAAATGGATCAGCAAGATTTGATTTCTAAACATAGCATTTCTAATAATAAGTGTGTGAACTTCAGTTCAGTACCTTTGGTTTTTGATTTTAATAACGATAGTAGGAAGATTAAATCTGTCATCAATATTTAAAGCACTGGCACCTTCTCAAAAAAGATAAGGAATTATCAAAGATTATAATCCCAGAAAAAAATGTTTGTTACGTTTAGAGGAGCAACAAGCCTCAATCACCCCAAAGCCGAAATACCAAATACTTTTTTTAAATAGTACTAAAAAAGGTTTTTATTCCTGTGGAAAATGTGCAGGTTGCAAATGCAGTAAAAATAAGACTTTGAAAGGTATTAACAAATTTAAAACAAAATAAAGAGGATTTTTTTTTTTATAAACAAATTTAGTAAACATTTATTTATCTTTTAATCTGTCCATGCGGATTACAATACCACTCGCCCTCTTCACAAAAGAATATATGAGCATGTTAATAATATAAAAAAAGGCTTTAAACAGCATAGTGTCTCAGCACATTTTAAAAGATATCATAGTAAAGATCCAAGTGGTTTAATATTTTTAGATATTCAGATGGTAAAAAAAATCCTGGCAAAGTTATAACTACATTTTAAACATAGGGAAGGAAAATATAAAATGGACTCAATGAACCCAATGGACTCAATATCGAATTTGATTTATATATTTTGTTATAACAACATTTTATGAGGTTCCCTTTTGGATTTCTATTAGTATCACTGTCACGACTGCACCCTACTCCAAGAGTGTGCGTGATGTAGTTGTGGTGGTGAAAGGGTTAAAGTTCACTATTTGTCTGCACTAGACTGGAAATAATGACAAAATCCACCTTTTAACACCACCCACACTTAAACATAATAATATAACTGTAACGGAGCTCCCTGTACTCCGACCGAGTACCCTCCGTTGACGGATGCTCCTAGCGCTTCCTGAGGACTCCAAGCGCTGCAGCAGACACCACAACCACCGCAGACTCCGCAACCACCGTATCTTGACTGGAGTATCGCCGTCTTCCTTCCACCCTGGATCAGCTTCTGTCCTCCAGGACTGTGTGGGAAAGAACTCTTCCTTCCACCCTGTACGAACCTCCAGCATCCAGGACTGTGTGGTGAAGACCCCTCCTCCAAGGAGAGCGTGTCAGGAACAAGCTCTTAAAAGAGCTAAGTGACTCAAGCTCAGGGGAGCATGCAGAGCATAGCAATCCCCAGTGTGATTATAACAGCTCCCTCCAATAACGAGACAAGGCTACGTTTAGAGGGATCAAGAAGAACTGTCAAAACCTTTATTCCCTTGGGACCAGCCAATACAGTCACCACAATAACATTGTTGTGAAACCTCAATAAAATCACAAACAGTCAAACCATATCAAGAAACACACAGTGACTTATCACAACACAATGGCACATTTTTAAAGGGGTGGGGGGAGACAATATTTAACAGTAAATATCTCACCTGCCTGCAGAATTAGCAATATGCAAATCTACCGAATATGCAAATGAACCAGTCTTGCAATTCAGGTAGTGCATATTGCTGTTGCTACCAACAGAGGGCACTAGACCAGCTCCATAGCCAAACCCACATAGTTGGTAGCAAACCTCAGCAGTACAGGAGAGAAGGCAATACATTACACAGTACACACACACACACTATAAACAATTACATTACACACACCCTGCACCTATCATGGGTACAGGGTGACTAAAACATAGGATAAATAAAGCAGCCCACATAAATAGTCTGTCTGAAGGTAGACTAGGGGCTTTAAAGCCAGATAGATGAAAGAGTCATAGTCACAGGGGAGGAGGCTGGCAGCGGAAGACGACACCTTCGGCTCCCTGTAACTTGCACTGCCGCTGGAGACTAGGTGTCCATATCCTCAACCTCCACAGTTGTCGCTCAAAGGCCATTGCCGCACTGTTCTCAGCACTCAACTGGCGCATTACTTGGTGGACCACCTCGTTCGAAAGGTCTGGGCCATAGCAGACCAACCGCCTCTTTACCTCCTCAATGTAAGCGTCGTCCTCGTAGCGACGTATCCTGTTGAGGTGCTCTTCGCAGGGCTCTATCCATCCCTGCTCCATGCTGCTGTAGTTAGGGACGCTGCACAGTGGCTAGCGTTGCCCTCAATAACCTCTCATACGATACCAGTGTCTCCGAGCTGCTTCTCCTCGCACTAGGACGCCATCCCACCGCTACCACCAATGTAACGGAGCTCCTTGTACTCCGACTGAGTACCCTCCGTTGACGGATGCTCCTAGCGCTTCCTGAGGACTCCAAGCGCTGCAGCAGACACCACAACCACCGCAGACTCCGCAACCGCCGTATCTTGATTGGAGTCTCGCCGTCCTACTTCCACCCTGGGTCAGCTTCTGTCCTCCAGGACTGTGTGGGAAAGAACTCTTCCTTCCACCCTGTATGAACCTCCAGCATCCAGGACTGTGCGGTGAAGACCCCTCCTCCAAGGAGAGCGTGTCAGGAACAAGCTCTTAAAAGAGCTAAGTAACTCAAGCTCAGGGGAGCATGCAGAACATAGTAATCCCCAGTGTGATTATAACAGCTCCCTCCAATAACAAGACAAGGCTACGTTTAGAGGGATCAAGAAGAACTGTCAAAACCTTTATTCCCTTGGGACCAGCCAATACAGTCACCACAATAACATTGTTGTGAAACCTCAATAAAATCACAAACAGTCAAACCATATCAAGAAACACACAGTGACTTATCACAACACAATTTTAAAAGGGTGGGGGGAGACAATATTTAACAGTAAATATCTCACCTGCCTGCAGAATTAGCAATATGCAAATCTAGCCGAATATGCAAATGAACCAGTCTTGCAATTCAGGTAGTGCATATTGCTGTTGCTACCAACAGAGGGCACTAGACCAGCTCCATAGCCAAACCCACATAGTTGGTAGCAAACCTCAGCAGTACAGGAGAGAAGGCAATACATTTCACAGTACACACACACACTATAAGTTGGGGATCTGGACAGGCTGTCCAGCATCCCTGTAGGTCGGGCACAGAGACCACGGTCCCCTCTGCGTCATCTGGGAGATTGGTGTCTGCCCTTGGTAGGATAAGCTGCCGCTGGGGAGATAGGGTGCTGTGCTCCTCTCCCTGAAACACAGGCTGCCGCTGGAGAGGGAGACCGCCTGTCTCCACTCCCATAACGTTGTCCTGCTGCTGGAGAGAGAGACCAACTGTCTCTGCTCCCTGTAGGACACACTGCTGCTGGGGAGGAAGGATGACACCTTCGGCTCCCTGTAACTTGCACTGCCGCTGGGGGAGGAAGGGCGGCACCTTCGGCTCCTGTAGCTTTCGCACTGCCGCTGGGAGAGAGATAACTGTCTCTGCTCCTGTAGGACACACTGCCCGGCTGGGGGAAGCACGGTGACACCGCCGGCCCCTGGGTCGCACTGCGCTGGGGGGATTAGGGGCGACACCTTGACTCCCTGTAACACTGCAGCTGGGGAGGAAGGGCGACACCTTGGCTCCCTGTAACTGCACTGCCGCTGGAACATTACACACACCCTGCACCTATCATGGGTACAGGGTGACTAAAACATAGGATAAATAAAGCAGCCCCCATAAATAGTCTGTCTGAAGGTAGACTAGGGGCTTTAAAGCCAGATAGATGAAAGAGTCATAGTCACAGGGGAGGAGGCTGGCAAGTAGGCCTCTCCAGGACCAAGTGGCGAAGGGCACTTCGTCACATATCTCCCCTTCGGGGGGAAGACTAACCAGGCACCTGACTTTCTGTCGGTCAGTGCCTAAGTTAGTCGAGTCACCCACCGACCATACGCAAGTGCCAGAGTAGCCCACCCACAACAAACAGTTATTAGAGCAGCCCACCCACAGCAAACAGTGACTGCACCTGGGTATTCCTCTGGGGTGATGGGGCAACACACTGTGGGGGCTTGAGGGGCAGAGGCCAGCGGCGCTCTGCCCTGATGCCAGCGCTTCTGCTGGGAGGAGGGTGCAGGCCAGTCCTGTGACAAGGGGATCAGTAGGGCAGAGGCCAGGGGCGGTCTGCCCTGATGCCAGCTCTTCTGCTGGTATAGCCTGCAGGACATCAGGCTCTGGACAAGGGACAAAGGGAGGGCAGAGGCCGACTGCACTCTGCCCAGCTGCCAGCTCTTCCGCTGGGGGGCTTGGGACATAGTCCGGCTCAGTAGCCAGGGGAGCGTGGGGGTCAGTGGGGGTTAACATCTCCCCTGTTAACCCTGGGGCCAAGTTAGGAGTTAGCTGGGGAGGGGAATTCGTACTTACCCCCTCCTCCTGTTGTCCCTGTGAGGGTAGTTGGGGATCTGGACAGGCTGTCCAGCATCCCTGTAGGTCGGGCACAGAGACCACGGTCCCCTCTGCGCCATCTTGGAGATTGGTGTCTGCCCTTGGTAGGGTAAGCTGCCGCTGGGGAGATAGGGTGCTGTGCTCCTCTCCCTGAAACACAGGCTGCCGCTGGAGAGGGAGACCGCCTGTCTCCACTCCCATAACGTTGTCCTGCTGCTGGAGAGAGAGACCAA